TCAGAAACGTCTAAAATACTGTTTTTGTCAAAGGAAGTCTGGTTGCTTTGAATAATGCATAGATAACGGTTTCAATTCCCTTTCAGAAAGGCCGTCTGACCACAAGGTAAAATGATGAAAATATCCCTCTGTGCGTTAGTCAATGACTATGGATAAGTAGCCGATACAACCCCACTTTAAATATCAGAAAGTTCCGTCTCAAAGATCATTTGTCCTCTGAAATATTTTGGTATTCAGTGCTGCCAGCTACAGTGCAAGAAAACAAACCTAGACAAGTGGCAGCCTGCCGTCCGAAGTGAACAGTGTCCAGGCAGACGGTGCACTTGGCAGCCCTCATGTTGAGGCCCACAGTGAAACGGTGTGGGATGTTGTGGTGCATTCTCTCTTTCACACGTCGGCCAAACTCTGCAAATGTAAGAAGAAGAAGGAGAAATGAGCAGTGATAGGAGTCAGTGAAAGAGAAACAAGTCGCCAGGATATTTCTCAAGTGCTTAAGACCCCGTTTACACGAGGACGATACGGGTTGTATCCGCATAGTTTCTCTTGCGTATAGCCCTTTTGTTTACACGAGGCCGTAACATACAACCCGTATCGTCCTCGTGTAAACGGGGTCTTAAGCACTTGAGAAANTTTTGACATTTGAGTACATTTAGCTGATAACGAGTTCAAACAGGTGCCATTAATACAGTTAACAAGTGGAGGACAGAGGAGGCTCTTAAAGAAGAAGTTACAGGTCTGTGAGAGCCAGAAATCTTGTTTGTTTGTAGGTGACCAAATACTTATTTTACCGAGGAATTTACCAATTAATTCATTAAAAATCCTACAATGTGATTTCCTGGATTATTTCCCCCCATTCTGTCTCTCATAGTTGAAGTGTACCTAGGATGAAAATTACAGGCCTCTCTCATCTTTTTAAGTGGGAGAACTTGCACAATTGGTGGCTGACTAAATACTTTTTTGCCCCACTGTAATTATGATTCAGCCTCGGCTGAAAAATACTTCAGTCTTTAGTTGGCACAAAATGAGATCTAGGCTTCTTTATTTATCTGCATTTACATTAGTTCAACATTCTGTTCTCTGTTCAGACTTTTGTTTGACTAGAGTTTGTAAAATAAGCCACACCTTTGTCAAAGCATTCTGTGTATCTCAGTTCCTGTTTTTCCCAGTCTGGATCTTCCGGCTCCAAATCCAACCAGTTCCTCGGTCAACAATATTCCCAAGACAGTTCCTGCTGTCTGCTTCAGTCAGAGGACATGTTAAGCTGTTCCAGCAGTTTCTGGAGAGTAAAGACCACATTGCTCAGAATATCTCTCAGATATGTAAAGCTGTCTGTTACTCCTGCGTCTGAGACCCCGTTCAGATGGTGCTGCTGCTTACATCTGTCTCACTGTCCACAGGTGATGAGGAGCTCTACCTCCAACAAGCTGCAGTATTTATCGAGGACGCCATACAAGTAAGCACTTTCCCTACTTATTTTCTCTTCTGTAAAGTAATAGAAGAATGTAAATGCAAACATGAACAGAACAGTATGATTTGTGGGTGGGGTTAGACCTCAGAGACTTCTTTCTTACAATGTGTCCTGTCTTTACTGTAAGCTGTCTACCATAACTATGCCCACCATAGATTACTATGTGAAGATATAAGGTCTTTGATCACCTGGGTTTATGAGGGTTACTTTAAAATACATTGCGTTACAATTACATGTACCTGTAAAAATTATGTTATCAAAATATAAAAGTAATGTAACCAGATTACTCTCCATTTAAGTGTATTATGTAAGACAACTGAACAATGTGACCTTAGAAAAGAGGACACCAAGATATTTAGTATCAGACATGTGTCCTCTGCTCAGAGATTGAATTGATAGGAAAACCTGCCTTTCATGAAGCATACTCAGGCAGCAGCCCAAACACCAACACTGAAACACATGAGCACATACTACAGTTTAAAAAGCAGAAATAAAATCTGAGCTGACAGAAAATGCTCCGTTTTAGTTTAATACACACAGTTAAGCTCACACACACTGTTTTATGAACATATAGGTTCAGCTGCTGAATTAAAAACAGAACAAATTAACCGAAGAAAGTAAAAAGAGATTCACACTTATAGTACAGTATCACATATTTTTCACGTGTAATTTAGTTCCTTTCCTGTTTCTTTTACATTAAAGGGGACCTATCATGCAAAATGCACTTTGTGATGTCTTTTATACATGAATGTGTCCCCGGTGTGTCAGGGAACTCACGCAGCGTCAGAAAAAAAAACCCTCTCTTTTCCTCCGTACCCAAATCTTTTAAAAACAGGGGTACAACGAGCGGATACAGATTTGCTGCCGATATGATGTCAAATCGGCAGCGGACCCACAGAAAGTTGCTATCAGAAACGATGCCTGACGTGTTTTGGACATAATCTCGTCTTTGTTTACATTAGCAAGCCTCGCTAACACTCAGAGCTAACCTGTACTGTAGAGCACATGTGTTTAAAAAGCAGGAAATAAAAAAAGAACTCCCCTTGTGATAAACCCGCAAGAGAAAAAGCATTTGAGATCCATACTGTTTCAGAAATAATCCTTGATGTCGTTTAGAGCAGGATGGCGTTGTATCACAGCAGAATTTAGCTTTATCTCCGGTAGAATTCTTATAGGCATTAGCTCCGCCCCCTCTTATTTATTTATTTTCAAGCTAAGGACCCAAAATCCGCATTTCTCTAACAGGGCTTCAAAAGAGGGGTATGAGCAGTATGAGGCATGGCTACAATGGGTGAACTGTTTGGTATTTTAAGCAAAAAACTTCACAGACATGTTTTTTATAGGTATGGCCCTACAATATATTTTTCCAATATAGCATAATAGGTCCACTTTAAGTTTTGGTCAATGTGAGTACTGTATTTCACCATTCTAAGCTCTGCACTTACACTGACTGCAAAAGAAAGACAAGAACAAAAGGACACAATATGGTACATCTGTTCAAAGGAAGATCAGGGCACAGACAAATGACATCCAATCATGTGACAATCTTGAATGAAGTCGATGTGTGTCAGAAAAAGCACCAATCATCTCATCCTTTAAGATCAATAACTCTCTGGAGAATAATTTCAGACACACAGATAAACAAACGAATACCAAACACACGTTGTTTTCAGACTTTCAGTATCACACCCCCTTTTTCGGAAAATAACCTCCAATCAGACTCTCATTTTGTCTCGCTCCCCCTCTAACTCACACGCCATAGAGTTACTACATCCTAACAGGAAGCAAAGGATGAGGCTTGTTTTTTCCAAATTTGAGCCTCAGAAATGAACTCAATCAGGAGGAGGCTTAGGTTGAGCTTTGTTTTTCAAAATAAAATCCCCAGAAAGCAACAAGCCAACCACTGCTATCAATACCTACTTAGCACTGGCAATATAATCGTCAGGACACGCAGTCACACAGTCAAAATGTCTCGTCGGGAAACTTTGTAGTTCTATGTAGAGTGAGTGCATGTTTTTATTTGTGAATCAATGTAGGAGAATATTTTCTTTCAAAGTTACACAGTCTCACTTTAAGATCTATTGTCATTACTGTCAGTAGCAATGTATCACTGTGACATTTTGGTTCTCTTCTGGGACAGCCACCCTGCTGTTACCAATAATGATAAATAAAAGCTGAGCAATCACACAGAGAACAGAACATCTCTTCTCCCGTCAGACTGCTGTCATTACTGAAGTTGCATCGCTGTGGGAGGCTCTGTTGTGCTCAATGTGTTAGGAGAACAGTATGTGGGAAACAGAAAGAAAAACAGTGACGCCCAAGGGGGCAGTGAAGCAGATGCAGGAAGGGAGGGAATCAGCGTTACAGGCATAAAAAGCAATGGCTAATTTCCCCTCGACATGCAGTATCATGTATACTGTCATGATTACCTCATTCACGCTGATATCTTCTTGTGTGATACATCAGATGCGACAGTGTGAGGCGCATCATTCCCCCGATTTATATCACAATCATCCAGTAGTGTCACTTTTAAAGACTGATCTTCACACCGTTAACCCAGTTTTAGAACCTGGAGCATTTAGGTTGGTTTGTTTGGGCACATGTGAACACAGCTGACAATCAGTGGCCTGAGTTCACCTTCCCTACAAGCTCTGTTACCAGTACACTCTGCTAATGCTCAATTAGGAAGTAGATAAACAAAAGAGAAGGAAGTGTTGTTTTTTTCTTTAGCAAATATTTTTGAAATTCCTCATAAGAGAACAGCTTGGCATTAGTTTAGAACTTTTGGACTTCTCTACAATGTTACTGTATAAACACAACCAAGCTAAATGCAACAATTGCAATAAAGAGGTCCCTGAATTGGAACGAAGAAAACTAATTGTAGGTCGGAAAATGTCTGAACCCATTTTTAAAGCAGGATAGAAAACCACAGACGCTTCACATCAACACTGAACTTAACCGGTTCTTCCTTTGCCCATAATATACAGTCTCTTTGTTATCCTGCTGAAAAACAGAGCCTATTGGCAGAGGAGTTACCATAAACTCATCATAGACCTTCCAGAAAAACGCGGGCAAAAATCCTTGATTATCTGGGCTAAAATCCTTGATTATGCGATTAAACATGCGGGGTTTTTATGTGATTTTAGGCGGTGAAATTGCGGGAAATTGCGAAATATGCGGAAAGTTGCGAAAAATAA